TTTGGATTTGAGACTTTAGTCTTTGCAACTTTACAGATCTTCTTTATGCACCAAGAGCTTGTAACACTCCAAAGAGAAAGGAAAAATTTAAATTGCATCATATGACCCCTTTAAGTCCAGTACTCACATCCAGTATAGAAGTTCAGTGTTCATTAAAGAAAACTTCTTATATTAGCTACACATATGTGCTATCAAAATGACTCACAGTAATTACAGTTATCGGACAGCTAGGTTGCTAGCATCTACAGAGACAATAAACCCAAAACTACATAAGGACTGTAACAGAATATAACATATTGAATGAACATATTGAATGTTAGGTAACAGATAATAAACAGATATTCACTACAGGCCATTTTTGTGGCCCCACATTTTAGATCTATTGGGCATTTTAGTGACTTTCTGTGGCCTTTTTGTGCTGAGCCCTGGTTAATTTCTGATCCTGCTGCCTGCTGAACTGTGACAACCAGATTGCCCAATAAAGATATTTCACATTGTATGACACAGATTTACAGTGAGTGAATCTGACAACTGATGTCTGCACAGGTTCAGGTCATTGGTTCGAATATTTGTCTCAAAATCTCCAATTATATTAAAATGTGACATTTGACAAAATCTTTTTTAACACTTGCTTCTGTAATTTTAGCGAATTAGATGGCCTGCTCAAATAACAGTTCATCTGGGGTGACGGGTGATCAGCAGTTACAAGAAAAATGAGAAGAATGTGTGACCAACCTTAATCTGTTTCGTCTTCTTTGTTTTATCCTCTCTTTTTCAGTTTCAGAGTTAAAGGGGAAGGAGGACAAGCCTCAGTGGAAGGAGTTAATCGAGGATATAAGTGTTTTACAATGGGTGTTTTCATTTCTGTTTTTAGGTGAGACCTGTTGCAACACACAAAGAGAAAAAAAATTACTTTTGGGTGCTGAATAGAAATTTCCATGATGCTTCCCATTGTGTGTCAGATTGACACTGTAACATCACATCTCATTCTGAATGTGTGTGTTTGCAGGAACGGCCTGTCTGCTGTTGATGATCTATTTGATGTTCACCTCTCTGTGGCTCATTCCCACACTCTACTTCTCATGGCAGATCTATGATTGGCACACACCCGAAAGAGGTCAACCCATCATTAGAACACACATTTTTATTCTTAACAGTACACACAAACACATGTGTAGATGGTTAAATGGACAGTACCCGTAAAAATGAAAATAATGTAATCATTTACTCACTCATGTCATTACAAACCTGTATGACTTACTTTTCCGGTTTGGGTAAGACATTCTGAGATATGTCTCTGTGTTGTTGTTTTTTTTTCAATAGTCAGCAAAACTGTTTGGTTACCAACATTCTTCCAAATATCTCTTCTGTTCCACAGAAAAAACTATAGTCATACAGGTTTAGAAAGACATGAGGGTGAGAAAATAATCAGTTGAGTCAAAATGATCAGTCAAATGAGTTGTCATTTTTGGGTGAACTATCCATCTAAATTCACAGGTTAAACTAAGATCAGATAATTCCATTTAGCCTAATTCTTAAAAACAGCTTTCACTGTCTGATAAAATAAAAAATATTGTGTCAAAATGTTAATATTTTCTGTGTCCACTAGGTGGCAGACGAACAAAATTTGTGAGAAGCTGGGAAGTATGGAAATACTACAGAGACTATTTTCCTGTGAAGGTAAACATTATACCCAGTAACTGACATAACACATCAGTTGTTCTTTGACTTTAGCTCTTGAATTTTTTGTGTATCCCACCCCTTTTTTCTCTCTATCCTTCTTTGACTTTCTATTCCGTCAGCTAGTAAAGACTGCTGAATTGAATCCCAGTAAGAACTATATCGTGGGTTGTCACCCCCATGGCATCATGTGTGTGGGAGCCTTCTCGTGTTTCAGCACAGACCGTAATGGATTTGTGGAAACCTTTCCTGGAATACGCCCCACGCTTGCAATTCTGGCTGGACTTTTCCGCCTTCCTCTCTTCAGAGAGTATATTTTGTCTGCAGGTCAGAAACGAAAGTTAAATAGAGACTCAATGAGAGAGAAGACGACATTGAAAAGGATGAAGTGTTTCTCCATCTATTTCTCATTCTCAGGTCTGTTGCCTGTGAGTAAGGAGAGTTTAGATTACTTGCTGAGCTGTACTGGTGTGGGCAATGCTGTAGTCATCATCATTGGTAGGGCAGAGGAATCACTTACCTCGTCTCCAGGAGTAAACACTTTAGTCATGAAACACAGGAAGGGTTTTGTACGACTGGCCCTTGAACATGGGTAAGAAAGAGTCGAGAACAAGACAAGAAGATTGACTGAAATAAACCTCTAGTTTAAACCAGTGGTTCTCAACCAGGGATCGGGACCCACTATGGGGCCTCAGCAAACTTCCAAGGGGGCCACCGGATGACTAAAATGATTCAAATTACTATACTAATATTAATACAATGAATATACATATTCACATTCTTATTATTATTTATAAATAAAAATAATCTAACTCAAAATGCTAAAAAGTACATAATATCCTGTCTGTGTCTGTTTCTGTTTCAACTTTACCATGTAATAACATGCACACATATTATAAGCAGCAACTGCCAGCTTATGAAAAACTTCTCATTTTAACATGTTTGACTACATCTCCTGTGTCTTGTTGCTGTTCACTCAGGGCTGACCTGGTTCCTGTGTACTCCTTTGGTGAGAACGAGCTGTTCCCACAGGTGGTTCTGTCCGAGGGCAGCGTTGGTCGACGGCTGCAGGCTCTTTTTAAGCAGATTACGGGTTTTGCTCCATGTCTCTTCACTGGGGGGCGCTGGCTGCTTCTGCCATACAGACACCCTGTCACCACTGTGGGTCAGTTCAAAACAATTGCATTTCACATCACATTTTTAACAATGATTATTGTTTTTGTAAAGAATCAAGATGTTGCTGCTAGAGACCCTTTTCATCTGTATGCTACTGACACGAATAGAACTGCTGAGCTGTTCTTCAGATTGAAGTATCACTTTTTGCTATGTACTATGAATGCAATGTACCTTTGTCTCTTTCAGTGGGCCGTCCCATTATTGTGCCTCAGGTTGACAGTCCATCTCAGGAACAGGTGGATCATTACCACAGTTTATACATGAAGGCTCTGTCTGAACTTTTCCACAGACACAAAACCAGCTGTGGACTGGCCGACACACACGAGCTGCGCTTCATATAGAAATGTTGGAAAGCACAAAGTTATTGAAACAGCTGCTGGAATTATGATGTGGGACAGAAACATACTTATTTCTGTATTGTTTTCATGTGAACGGTTTAGCTTTTTGGTTCTCCGAAATGATGCTCAAAGCACAAAGTGAACCAAATGAATGAATGCAGTTTGGGATCTAAATCAGAATGATGCTCTCTTCCTATGGAGCTGTATATGTGCTATAAATGAACACACAAAAAAACTTTAGTCATCCAAAAAGAAAGTTTCAGTGATGGAAATTTAAAACAGGTTAGTGCTCATAATGAAAATATGTATAAAGAGTATTTTTTTAAAAAGTATGAAAAATATAATTTTCAGCTAATAAGTATTTTAATATAAGAAACATGGATGATTTATACATGTATAATGATGTTTTTACCTTAAATTCATCAGTGGCATTTTAAAGTGCAAAGTCTTGAAAATACCTCTCTTCTTGCAAAACAAATCGTAAAACAAGCACATTTTTACCACTTCCAGTCATTTATTTGTTTCAGACAACAAAATTGTATAACAGTAAGAGAAACAATTGTTTATACATATTTACATACAAAAGCAATACTTTGTGTTAAATTACAAAACTTCATATACAAAAACCATTGTAACTGCTGCAGGTTCCTTTAATTTTGATAAAGAAATCCCTGAATAGGCATTTTGCTTTTTAAAGAACATTTTTTAACCATAAGATTCGAGTCCTTCCTTTCTGCCAATTGTGGTCATTTACTCCAAAACATTTAAATAGCAGTTTTTCCACTGGCATTCTCTATGTTTTAAGAACAAGCTAAAGCTTGCCACAGAATTAACTCTTATTACAATACTTGAACAGCTCCTCATTTTTTGGCAAACGCTTTATATGCTTCAGCCTATTACGTGAAATTTCAAATGTAGTGCAGCCTATTTGTTGTACAAAAAGGTACGGAGATGACAGATTATTTTAGCAGTCAGGTCTAAGGCTTCTAGTGATTTATACCTCAACATGTTTGTGCAGGCAAATGACTGTGATATCTCTGAGGAACGTGAACTTGTAAGTGTGCAGTTTGACCCATAAGCTTGTTTTGATTTTGATAGGAGTTCAGTCGGGAGGAACAAATCATACCGTCCACTTTAGACACCTGAAAAGACAAGGAACACTATTTATTTCATCTACCCTAGCCCTATTAGTTTACCATATGCCACCTAAGTATTTGATCTATTTTAAAGGCGTTCCATCTTGATTTTAAAGGGATAGTTCACCCAAAAATGAAAATTCTGTCATTAATTATTAACCCTCATGTCTTTCCAAACCCTAAGACCTTCGTTCATCTTAGGAACACAAATTAAGATATTTTTGATGAAATCGGAGAGCTTTCTGACCCAGCATAGACAACTCAACGAACACGTTCAAGGCATTGTTAAAATGCTCCATGTTACATCAGTGGTTCAACTGTAATTTTATGAAGCTACGAGAATACTTTTTGTGCGTGAACTGAAGAAAAACAAAAAAATAACGACTTTATTCAACAATTTCTTCTCTTCCGTGTCAGTCTTTGACACGCATTCATGAGAGTACCACGATGCACGCCATAGATGAACGAAGCTCTCACAGGTTTGGAACGACATGAGGGTGAATAATTGATGAAAGAATTTTTATTTTTGGGTGAACTATCCCTTTAAATGGATAATGAAAATTCTGTTGTCATTTACTCACCCTCCTATTGTTCTAAACCTGCATAACTTTCTTCTTGGAAAACATTCTTCAAAATATCTTCTTTTCCACAGAAAACAAAGTCATACAAGTTTGGAAACAACATGATGTAAACAATGACAGAATTTTCATTTTTAGCTGAATTGTTTGATTAGTCACCTTTTCTTGTGTCAGTGTGTGGTAACAAAAAATTGTGTTTGCTATTATCTGGTATTTCTTTTAAGAAGTGTGTTGCCTTCCACCCACACATGTGTGAGCGAGTGCATTACCTGGTCTCGTGGTGTGTTCCTAAACATCGGACACAGCAGTAGCGAGCTCCACATGACACACAAGTGTAGTTTGAAGGGAAGCCGCACACTGCGCAGAAATGTCGCTGAGGAAACTTGGAGGGCTCAGCACATGCAGTCAGATAGTTTGGACCCTCACTAACACTCAAGTCCTGAAAGAGAAAAAGTGAGTAAGAGGTACAAAAAACATATCCAGGATTCCAAAACGAGAAGAAATCTGTTGTTTAAGCCTATTTTTAGAACAAATATTTTACATTGTGTACAGACATTTTACTTTTGAAGACTTTTTTTTAACTAAAGTTTCTTAATAGTAGTACCAATTATTGTATTAACTAGGGGTGCTGATCACCGATCGCCGATCACTGAAAGCAGTATCTGCCGATACCGATCTTTTTAAAGCCTTCTTTTAAAATGGGGGGAATTCCCCCTCTTGGGTGTCTCTTGTGAGAGGGGAAGCAGCACGGACTCTCATTGTGCTTTCACACAGGAGTCCGCTACTGATCCGTGGCTTTTACCACAAACACAACATTTATTCCAACATTATAACCATTCCATTATTTTGATTTCAAATCCAAACATTGTCACTGAAAATGCTTTTTCAGCATTGCAATTCTTTTTTTACACGGTACAATAATATATTTCACAGACGTGTTTAAACACAATAAATATAAGCAACACATCATTCAAAGCTTTTTACTTTTGCATTTAATTCTAGATTTATATATTAAGTTTCTCGAGCAAGTGGCAAAACATTTAAACTAGTACTACTTTTCTTACGTTATCACAAACTTACCTACCACTGACAGAAATAGTCAGCTCTACTGCCTTTCCTTTTGCATTGAAATCTTTATTACAAGCAATCCTGTGGTTCATAAAGAACTTTGTTTTCCTACCTCCACGATTGCCATCTATTATTGCCTTGTTTATTTAAAAGTTCTTTCCCTTTAAACCTAGCCAAAAAGCCATATGTGTTGACTGTGAAACACAGAGACTTTAATTATATGCTTTTATGGTGTAATTAATACATTTTCGTGTCAATCCATGTTCATATTTACTGCAAACAATGTGCTGTTACTTTAATTCAGCGCTTGCAGTGCAGCGCAGCAATAGACTCGGTGCGGAAATGATCTCTGCACTGCTGCAGAGGCACCACTCCTGAACGCACTGCCGGACACCAACCGTGTGCAGTGTGCACGTTTTATTAATCTGTTAACATGAGCACGGAAAAAATACGCACCACATTCGCACTGCAAACGGAGTAATGTGAACTTGGCTTAATGTATGTGCGCTGCAGTGAGCATGAGCGCACGGTCTCCTGGAGAGTGCGCAAGCACTGAATGGTTAAACACTGGCAATAATTAAAAAGTAATGCAATTTATAAACTTTAGTGACGATGTGACACTGCCTCGATTGTGCAAGTGACAATTCCTGTGTCAACCAGAGTATGTGAGCGGAGTGGAGCGGCAACAATTTCCCCTTCGCGCTCCAAGCATTTAATAATCACTCCGCTCCGA